TGAAAAATTGACCCTTCTTCAAGGTCTCGTTCGTACAACCTTAGCTTTGCTTTATCGCCTGTAACAACTATCGCGTTACGATAATTTCCCGTTGAAATTGCCGGCAAATATCATGTGCATCCCGGAATTCCGGACGGGATTCACGTTGGGCCATCGATCGTCTCCCACGGAAACTCGCACGCTCGTCTAACGAGACATTCGGCAGCAGGATTCGACGACCACCGTCGCCGTCGTTGTCGATGCCACCGGGGTGGAGAAATCTCGCGACGTGTACGCTTCAAGAACTCGGCATTATCGGTCGGGTTTTCTCACGGATACAATTTCCCGACGCAATTTTCTTTTCAGTCGGTCCCGGCGAATCCAACGCGCGCGCGGGTTGGACCGTGGGTGGCAAATGGCAAAGAGAGAGAAAGAGATACGGTGACAAGGGGGTGCGCGGAAGGGTGTAGAAAAAGGGGGGAGGTGCGGCGCAGCCCATATTCGTGCATTGTGGCACGTTCCATCGCGTTCTCAACTGAACTGAACTCGACTCAACAGTGGAGGACACAATGGGCGGTATGAATAAGTATAACAGACAGACACCGGTACAGACAGACACAGGTAGCTCAGGCCGCAGTATGTGAATGAGGAACCCATTTGATAACACGCCTCCACAGCCACCCAGGTCCATTGTGTCGCTTCCTATTCAGCTGCTCTATGCCCTCTTCTCCTCCTATCCCCTCTTTACCGTCCCTCCTCTCTCTCTCTCTCTCGTTCCCTCTGCTCTGAACCCCTCCTCCCCTTCTCTGCTGGATTCGCCTTGCTCTGCTGGTGGTGTTACCCCTCTCGCTCACTCGTTCTCGTTCCAATATCATCGTGGAGATCTTGTCCTATCTGTCCTGCACCTGTATTATGCACAGAGGAAAAAGGCAGACACGGATTCGCCATGTGGATCCCTTCTCCTTTATTTTGATCATACGTTGGCTGCGTAGGATCTGATCGCGGAGAGTGAATTAGAAACGCGAGATGCCGTGCGAAAACCGCTCAAGGCCAATGAATAATTTATATAACTTAATCTTCTTTATTTGATATTGTGTTGCAAAGGAGATAGATATTCTCGTCATAGAATTATAATATTTAGCGTTCGGTAAAACAGAAGCTAGAAACCATTTTCTTTATTTTAAGAAATTTTATAGAAGGTAATTATTTTAACATTTAAATCTTGTTTTATTTTATTATTTTAATATTATCTTATAAATTTGAAATATCGATTTAGAATGTGTCAAGAATATCAAGTTTTATCTTTCTTTATCATTGTTTATAACGGCATGTGGTATGCGTCTTTAGCAGCAAAAGGGTTAAACCGACCCTGTCCGCTGAATAGATAGGTATTACTAGCGAATGATCCTAGTCGCGTGGATACTATGGAAGCTATCCTGGGATAGCAGTCGTAGGTTGTACATCGACAGAGAGGAGAGTGTGAGAGAGAAAGGATGAGAGAAGGGGGAAGAGAGTACCGACCAACAACAATGAGGCAGAGACAAAGCCCAGGTACAATGCTGATGTTGAACTCGACTGATTTCGACGATTTTTGGCCTTTGCATGTGCATCGCGCGTTACTCGACAATGATTCCCGCATACGTAATCATCGCTATAGCCGCGGAACTCTGGTACCCTCGCTCGCGGCAGTGGCTCTCACGACCCGTGGTCTCTTTTTCTTCGATTGAATCTCTTTTGAGGGCTTCGATGCTCGAGCCAATAGAATATTACCGTGACAAGGCGGTCTGTTTGTCGGCTTAAACTGTGGCTTATTGAATAGTAGTTGAGAGTCATAGGTGATTCACACCTTCGTCCGTGCAATTCGCTTTTCAATCGTATGATGTGTTTAATCAGCGGTCATCGCATCGGAGCAAGAGGTACAATCGGCAATCATTTACAGCTTAAGATCTATTTTTAGAGTACTTGATCTTTAGGGAATGTGTGCATTGGAATGTGGGATATATATAAACTAAAATTATTATCTAAAGTTACACGATGAAAAATGTCTTTTTATGAAAGGAAATGCGATATGCGTAAAAAATTCAGTTAAACAGGATTAATGTTATTGGAATAATATTTAGACGTCGACGATATGAGATCTCAAATGCTGACATGATTCATCATAGGTTGGGATTCATTTCACGGTTCGATACCAATTCATCGTGATCAAGAGTATTCTGATTGTGAGTCTTTATAATGATCTCGCACCGGGCCAGTTATATATACGCTTGTTATATATACACATACACATTCTCAACTCAACTATTCAGCTAACCTATCCTCTGATGCAGTAATTATTATAAGTTATTCAAAGTAAAATATTGATTTTCGATAAAAATGATTAACATTAAAAATATTATATATACACTCTACATCCAAGAAGATGTTTCGATTTATGCAACTTTGCTGAGTAAATGAAATGAATCATCTGTAAATATAAAATTTAAATCAATTTGACAATTTTATTTTTTGCTTTTTATAAATATGTCAAGATATTAAACATATTTTGTAAATAGAAACGCACAAATCTCTTAAAAATCTCGCTCTCGTTTGGTTTGCTGAAGCATGAAAAAAATCAGCACATCTACTTTCTTCATGCATAGGCAAACTTAAGTTAAGAATGTGAATACTTCGTGTGAAGAATTCCGTGATGCGCATCGCGAAACTAACAACGATCTTTCGCCGGTCTCAGCAGTGCTTTTTTGGCACTCGCAAAGGGTGAATCCTGATCGATTGAGCACCGCTGACCGCACCTGAATAGATACATTGTGCCGAGGCGGCCTATTGACGGGCGATTGTTCCCTCAACAATAACAACAATATCTGAATAGTCGTCCTGCGCATCTCTCGCGCGTTGCACGCACCCACGCATCCGCGCGTGCACGCACGGACGGGGCGCTTTCACGCGCGCGCGTATATCGATGTACACGCACGCGTGCAGTCTGAAAGGTTCTCGCACACCCCGTGGAATACATGCAAGCGATATAAATGCACATAACAGTGGTGGATTTAGCAAATATCGAGGCCCAAAGGCGAAAAATCGGCGAACAATATACATTATTCTTAATTTTGATCATTGAATGAGAAGTAATTGAACACATATTATATATAGCATCTAATTTGTAATTATTATTATAAATAATGGACACATAACGCTCGTGTTTAAAATAATCCCATGCATCGCAGAGAAATTGGAAAAAATGCTGTTATATGTGAGAGATTGCTATTTTTATATAATTTTCTTTTTTTTTTTTTTTCGATAAAATGTTTCTCTTTCTTTTTAACAATTTGTCCATTTTTTCTGAATGCGTGTACATGCGTGTGCGTCGGTGAGGATTAGAGAAATGCGCGTGTATTGCGGCGAGTGTGGTCTTTCTCGTTAGGGGTGTGAGGGTTTCAGGCGGGATTGTGGATCGAACCGGCCACACAGCGCCACGCCGGGTGTTACGTTCGAGCTGAAACAATGCGGAAGCACGAGGGTCCGAGCGATCAACCCCCTTGTGTGGCTCATGAAACGGCACTAATGCCTTTTGCGCGAATTTATGCGCTAATTCGTCAAGCGTTCATCTTCGGCCTGGCTTAAGGATCAAGTATCGTTTCTAAGTCCGCTGATGTTGCATCGCGGCGATATTATCGTGAGGAATTTTTAACTTTGGGAAAGAAGATGCGATCCGCTTAATACTGCAAATGTTTTTTTTTTACTAATCAGAAGAAAGAATTTTAGAATTGACTATTCAAAGAATGCTTCAAAGCATTTGCAGCGTAAAGTGGATCGCGCCTTAAAACGTAGCAGAGAGAGAAGATTTACATACCTAAGTTATTTCTGTATTCCTCGCGAGTGTTTTATAATATGATTTATTAAATGTAAAAGTATAATTAATAATGCAACATTGAAATATATAAAATATTGTTTATCATGCATTTATAAACAATGGTCAAGATATATATATATATATGCAATGCCGTCGTAGAAATACATATTTATATCCTACGAGTAGGTACTACATTTACCGCGAAAATGTAAGGACTGATTTTCGGCTGTTTTAAGAAATTGCCGATCGTTCATGAATACTGAAATGAATACATGAAACGCGATATATCTATCGGTACGTCATTCGCTAGCGATGTTTTACGAAGCGCAGCGGCATTTGTTTATGGTTGTTGCGAAAATGAAATAATGATCGTCGGTGATAATGATAATCTTGACAATAGGATAATGAGATATATCTTGAAATTAAGAAATTTTTGTAAAGAATACATAAAGAAAAGTTTTTAAGCGACATGCAACTTTCCGACATAAACTTGCGGTCTTTTTTGTTCAATCTGTAGTTAAATGTTCAATCTGTTACAGATCTTGTGTCATATCGTGTATAAAAAATTAATATTATTCGACCGTTCGATGAAGTCACACGATACTTCTTATTCGGACAGTTTTGTAAGACGCCAATATTCTTATGCGAGATCGTCATTCGTTCGAATTAAATACGTATGCACTATATAATTGAAAAAAAATGACATCGCAAAATGAGGTATATTAACTTTAGCAGAGAGAGTTAATTTCACACTGTATTATAAAAATTATAAAACCATATATATAGTGTCTAAAATTTAGACAACAGAGACATTAAATGACTCCCGATTATTTTTATTCTGATACAAAACTCATTAGTTTATATAATATTATCTCACGTTACGATATCATAGGTAGGAAAACTAATAACTGCAGCCCGTATCCGGCAGGGGAACATATATCTTTTACGTAATTTAGATTTTAAATATCTCTTCCTAAATTAATTCACCAATAATAAGTTAATCAATTAATAATTTACGTGAATATTTCAATTATTTCAATTATTCACATGGTTCATGTTGCGTTTCGAGTATCAACTTAAATATTAGATTCATATCTCCCCATACGTTCCTCGATTTACGGTACGTCTCCATCCGGCTGCCGCTTATCCGGTCTATCATAGTTCAGTTATCCATGACGTTGTACGCAGGACTTTGTTGTCGTTAATCGCTTCGTTACGGTTAAGTCGATATCAAAAGATGGACGATGGCTCGCAAAACTCGCATTCATTGCAACGTTTCTGTAAGATAAAATTTTAATCATCAGAGCTATGACTGAAAATTTAAATTTAAAATTTATTAATTTATATATGAATTATAGATTATATTTCATGTTATGCATATTTAAATATTAATTATATTAGATATTTTCATTTCAGCATAGGTTATGTTATAAAATATCGTGATTTTTTTATTATAAAATGTCGTTATATACCGTTAGATAATCTTTGGTAAGCGACTGTTCGCGCAATCGATGAAACACCAGACGATTAGTTATAAAATCTTGAATGTTGTATCGAGACAATGTTCGATCTCTCATTTGCCAGTCGAACGACGGCCTGATATTCGCTCCCAAATTCAATATATCGCGGCCTCCGTATACTACGCGAACAGTCTGAAAGAAAATATTTATTTTTACCTAGATGCATATTTATGTTGATAGTTTTAAGATTATATGAGCACAATGCTGTATAAAATTATCTTTTTATTAAAAAACTTTTTATACTTACAATAATTCTATAAAAGGCTATAATATAAATATATTATTTTTTTTACTAAATATCCGGAAAAAATGTTATATATATGGACATATTTTATATATGATTACACATGGTGTCCGATAAGTTTTGACAAAGCGTCGTGCGTAGATAGAGTGACTAAACTGAGTCGAAAAGTCCTGTACCATTTTGCAATTTTCGCAATAGTTAACAAGGTATTAATTATTATTAAAAATTGCCGAATATTGATCTTCAATAATTTTTTACTCAAATATTATCAACTACAAAAAACCAGCAAGAGACAAAAATTGTTTATTTTCTTCTCATAGAGCTCTAAGAATTTTTTCAGAATTTTTTATCAACTTTTTAGTACTGCATTTTCTTATTGGCAACTATTTTTGCCAACATGAGAAAATACAGTATTAAAAAATTCTGAAAAAATTCTCAGAACTTTATGAGAAGAAATAAACAATTTTTTTGCTGTTTTTCTGTAAAGTTGATAGTACACTGAAAAAAAAGATTGGCTGCTGCAGCAAATTAGATGGTAAAATATGGCATAGTATTTTTAATTGGTTGTATCAGTCAATTTTTGGTTGTGTTAGCCTATCGAAATCCTATACTAACATTGCGAATAGGCTAACACAACCAAAAATTGACTGATACAACTAATTAAAAATGCTATGCCATATTTTACCATCTAATTTGCTGCAGCAGCCAATCTTTTTTTCAGTGTATTTGAGTAAAAAAATATTTAGTTTAGATTCAGTGATTTTTAGTAATTAATATTTTGTTAACTATTGCGAAAATTGCAAAATGGTACAGGACTTTTCGATTCAGTTTAGTCTGTTCTATCTATACACAACAAGTGGACTGAAAGAAAAGGTTAGGTGTTGCAGCAAATTAGATGGTAAAATATGGCATAGCATTTTTAATTGACTGCAACAGTCAATTTTTGGTTGCGTTAGCTAATCGAAATCCTATACTGACATTGCGGATAAGCTAACACAACCAAAAATTGGCTGCAGCAACCAAAAATTGGCCGTTGTAGCCAATTAAAATAATTGGCTACAACTTTGCTCTATGCCATATTTTACCATCTAATTTACTGCAGAAGCCAATCTTGTTTTTCAGTGTGCGCGCTTTGTCAAAACGTACACAGTTGGAAAAAATGTGTTGAATTTAACATAAATCGCACGTTCCAAACGGTCCACTTAAATTTTTGAGTTAATTTTACACAGGATGAATATGTTAGGAAGTAACACAAATATTATGTAAGAGAATAAATACAAAGAAAGATAAATTCGATACAGTTTGTAAACTTACTGTGGGAACATTTTTTTTTTAGAAAATTAACATTTATGATATGTTAAATTAACATATATTTCATTCATTTGTTTTAGAATTTACGTTTTAAAACACATTATTTTTATGTTACTTGTCCCCTTAGGGACAAGGATTTCTGGGGAGATTAGCACAAGAAGTAAGTTGATATTGCGTTCCGTTTATGTATTTGTGGCAAAAGAAACAATGAGGAAAAGTTACTGCAAAATATCTCTTATAACATAGGTACTTCTCCTTAAGTTTCACTTAAATTAAACAAAAGTATTACAATAGAAAAAGAAAAAAATTTAATTCAAGAGCAGGCAAATTTTTGATTATTTCATATTGATGTCCTTTGGCTTGAGGAAACCACACAAATCTAAGTATTATTAGTTAAATGTATTATTAGTTAGATGTATTATTAGTTAAAAGAAAAGTGTTTGTCATTATACAACACGTTATTTTGAGTAACAATAGTAATTTATTACAATAAAATGGTCAAAATCAGATGTATGTAGGGATGAGAGCTACTCTGACTGCCAGGTTAGGTCGATTATTGTACCGCACGTGTGAACATTCATTTACAATTTAACTCTGACAAAACACTTTATATTTAATATTTCTGTATTAAAATAAGATAGAACTAAAATAATTTATATTTGTTTCTCATTTAACATTTTGCTGTTTAACGATTACAAAGTAACTTTGAAAGATACAATTTTTACTAAGAAGTACCTATATGCAATTGTATATAAAATATGTCAATTTTTTATATAATTATATATGAAATATTTCTTCCCGTATAGTTTTTAAGAAAATAATTTCTTCGAGATCTTTCTCTTTTTCTCTCTCTTTTTCTCTCATATTTTTTCTTCTTACTTTCTCTTTTTCTCTCGATGTAACAATCTAGAATTCCTTTTTATGTCGAGTTTCGAATTGTTCGTGCCATGTGCTCTTAATTTTTTTTACCTTCTCTTGATTTTTGCTCTGACACGGAACTCTAGTAGGCGTCTCTGGTCTTGATGAAATTGGCGTTAATTCGGCAGACATTGCGAGACTGCTGATGCCACTAGATTCGCTTCCGGTACTTGGAGAAGTTCGTCCAGAATCGGATAAATTCCTCATATTCTGTTCACGCTCAATATTAAGAAGTTTCATGCTGAGTGTAGAAAAATGTTCCGGGTCTAGTCCGAATAAGGGTAGTGCTAACGTCAGTGCCATTTTTGTTTAGCGATAGTTTCAGCGTATCTTTTCGAGTGAAGAGATGATCGACTATCGATATATATGATATATTATAATTAGAATAGGCATGCGATATTTACAAGAATGAGATTAATCGTCATGTTAAAACGACCTCTGATTATCGACATTCTACATATTTTTTGTTCACGTCAGCACTTTGCATGTATCCCGTTTAAATTGTTTAAAATAGAGAAAAAACGGACGTTCGTAATAATATTGAAATCAAGGAATTCGCAACCAATGCACTTTGCAGATTTATAAGATTTTTCTCTAAATCGCGTGATGAAACACTTGCGCGGTATTTTTTTTATCAGAGGTAACGTTATTGACAAAAGAATGTAATCTTAGAATACGCGCTGTATATTCACCTGTAAATTATTCGAAAGAAAATTGTTCCGTTCGAGAAAAATTATTACATTCTTTAAATTTTCTTGAAAATACGCGCACCCCATTAAATCGAGTGTGTTTTACTATTTTTTGCAACAAGATTTCATTTTCGTGTTAATGTGTTACCTGAATTATAATAAAAGTAATAGAACCACTTTAATCTTGCGAACCGTTACGACGTCAACCGACAACTGAAAGCGTCCTGCTTGTATATCCTGCTACATTATAATGTGATGATAAACACGACCTTCTAATGTTTCGAACCTCAAGTGACTAATCCAGTTATATCATATTTTATTAGTATTTAACGTTAAATATTAAAAAGACGAAAAATCAATAGCAGATAATTTTTTTATACGAAAGAAAGATTTTAAATGAATCAATGAGATACATAAATAAATTTTGCGGTTTCTGTTTTATAATTAATTTTATCATTTACATATAAAATTTGCTTGAAAAATTACAAGTTTTAATTAAAAATAAATTAAATTGGAAAAATATTAATAGAGAGTGAATTTAAGGTTTTTTTTTATACAAAACTGTGAAAGTGAAATATATAAGAGGATCAGCGAAAGCTCAGATGGTTCAAGTTTTTTTTGCCTTTCTCTTGAAATTGTAGATTTATTGTTTCTTGCTTGTATGATGTATTATTGCATCATAAGTTGGGAAATCTCCTTTACCGACGAGGATGGTAAGGTCATTTTCTATTGATACCAACAGTTTGCTGTATGGGCTTATGGTACATGCAATTCCTCTTTTTATCCAGCAAGGATGCTGGATCTTGATCATCCGAAGTCTACTTTGCCGACTGCAATCATTTTTTCATATAACTTTTCCTACATATAATAATTATTATTAAAAAATTGTTACTAAGTAATATTTATAAAAGAATTTTACATACTTACAATTATAATAACTTGTAATAAGAATTATTGCGGTATCAAATATTGTAGTAACTGATACTTCTTACCATACAACGTGTGACGTCGGTAAATAATACACAGGGTAACTGTGAGTCCTTAATTGTTAATCTCTTGTTTCGTGGATTTATTTACTCGAGATTCCGCTAGGATATTATTATATTGAACGCTTCTTACTAAAATTATTAATTTTTATTATAATTTTATGATCCTGATACATAATTTGCATATAAATTTTTGTTTGACATTATTTTTTATTTTATCTTTTGACACAAAGCAGATTATAAAGATACGTTTGATTTAATATGTTTTCGTATACTGGACTGAGCTTTCTCGCAAGTACACGTTTGAACATTACATTCTTTATAAGACGTATAAGAATACGAATAAGTCAGGTGGTCTGACGCTACTCAGGGATCATCGAGGAAGGACGGGAACGTCTAAGTATATTGATGAGATACTACTAGATCCGTGCTCCTGAGAGACGGATACGTATCTGTAGGACGGATCTGTCTGAAATTGACGGCGAGGTTTTCGTTCTTAGTCTTTCAGCTATATCTTGTACACACAGACTCCAGTGGATGCTCACCAGAAGTTATGAAGGTGAACGCCAGGACATCGTCGGGAAAGTTTAGTCGACACTGTTAAGTAATATATTGTAGATATTTGCCTGCTCTTTTCTCTTTCGTCGAATTTCCATGCAATGGCCTATCTGTGGTGATAGAAGAGAAGAAAGTGTTCCTGCTGCAAAGGAAGATTTGTGCGGTGAGATTTCTAAAAAATATGTACACCACACAAATTTATCGTAAACAAGAAAGTGGGGAGAATATATGAGGGTGAGCCTTTAATCTCCAATATAGGCTTTCCTTCTTCGTGATATTGCTAATATGGCTACAATTACGCACCACGCGCGCGTGTATTATATATATATATGTATATGTATGGAGTCAAAAAAGAGGGAATAAAATAGTCAAAAAATTCCCAAAAGAGCTTTCAAGAAGAAGAAGAACCACAATGATTGGGAGACGAAAACAAATCACGCGTAGAGTTTATCTATATATTTATCTTATATGGCTTATATTATCCAATATATCTATTGGATTATCCTCTCTAAAAGAAGAGGGAGCAAGAATCAACTAATGATAATCCCCCAGTGGCGTTGCATAGAAGAATTCTATAAAACGGGAAGGAAATGTACTAACGATAATGGATTAACAAAACATGGATACTCTCTCTCAAGACATCTCTCTAACCTTCCCATAGAGTTATCTTCGAATAGAGTGGAGTCAAAGCCGAGGAACGTTTTCCCGTAATATGTTACGATGAAGTCGGTGATTGAGTTTCATATGAAGAGTGTTGATAGCGGCTGAGGATGTTTTTCGGAAATATAATGGGCCCAATCCGAACATACTTCGTGCCGATAGATGCGCACATCAAATTATAATATGCAAGACAATGGCTGTAAAGCGAAGAAACGGGATATCTAAATCTTTCCTGCGATTCTTGCACGGATCTGAATGACTGAGTGTTCATGGGATTCTTTGCGAACCTGACTTGGCTGCGAGAATATAAGAACGAACTGCTTGAAATCAGTTGGGATTTCTTGCGAACTGTAGTAGCACCGTAGACCATCATTTTGCACCGAAATATAAAGTTCTTTTTTGCTCCATATCTTAATTAGTTTCTGCATAAAAATAACTTAAAGCATTTTTTAAAGCGAAATAAACTGATAATGATGAATTATTAAATAATGATAATATTAATGAATATATATCTACATCTGTGCACGGCATATCTAATAAAGTATGATTCTAAATATTACTTTTCTAGCAATACGAACGTTTATTGAAATTTTTCTGAATCAGTAAAATGAAAAATCAATATTCAGAATGATCTTTTTATTAGAAACTTTATTAGCAATTTCCTTGTAATTATTTCAATATGTAAATATAAACAAAGTATAAGATTCAGTTATTGTACACTGAAAAAAAGATTGACTGCTGCAGCAAATTAGATGGTAAAATATGGCATAGTATTTTTAATTGGCTGCAGCAGCCAATTTTTGATTGCGTTAGCCTATCTGCAATGTCAGTATAGGATTTCGATAGACTAACACAACCAAAAATTGACTGCTGCAACCAATTAAAAATGCTATGCCATATTTTACCATCTAATTTACTGCAGCAGCCAATCTTTTTTTTCAATGTAATAACAAATGTGGATTTAAAGGCCGAGCATGACAAATATAAAGAATGTTATAAATAGAAATAAATATCTAATAAAAATTATATACTGTATAATTGAAAGCGGGACAAGTCTTCGACTTAACTAGAGTCTTTATTAGTCGCAATTGTTTATTAACAAATTACATGATTTATTAAAACACGAACAGTTTGAGATACGTTTAAAATTGAATAAATGGATATATGAAGAAGATACTACAATTCGCAAAATTTAATAATATAAATATATTATTATGTATATATTAAACAATTAAATATAGTAATGTTTATATTATTAATTTTTGCACTTTGTGTATATTATTGATTTTGCACTTTTCGTATTTTTTCTTTTATTTATTCGATTTTAAATTAATGTATTCCGAAACGTGTTTTAATCGATTGCGTAATTTTATTTAATATTTACGGTTGATAAAGATTGCAGTTATTTTCGCTTTTGATTATACGTCTTGATATATAATTTTTATTAAGATATTTATATTTCTATATTTATAACATATATGTTTTGTATTTGTTCGTTTTCGGCTTTTAAATTAAATTTATTTGAATTTGATAAACATTAAATACTTTACATATAATTTCTATAATATTTTATCTGCAATAAATATTATTAAATATTTTACAAAATGCACACACATATTATACGCAATGGTAAAGATAATGTAGGTGCATATATATAGAAATAAAATATACATTAATTTTCTATATGCGTTATACTCTTGTTGTGTACATTTATATATATATAGTTTCGAAAATATTTTATATTTATAATAAAAATTAAATGCAACTGTGCAATGTTATTATGGAACGGTATTGGTGTGTTTGTGAAATTAGCACGATATTCTAAATATTAAAAAAATGACTGTTTTAGTAGCATTTTTCATAGTTCTATAGTTCCTTATAAATATAAAAACCGCATTTGTTATTAAAAACCAAAATTAAAAAATTAACAATCAGAACTCTTCAAAAATAATTATAGAGTGAGGAATTCAAATTAGAATTAATGAGAAATGATGACACAAGAATTGCGATAAATTATCAGCAAGACTCTTTTTTTCCAAGTGCCATGATATCTTCTACATTTAAAGTCTATTAAAATTGGTAATTTATGGGAATTTTGTTTTTAAATTACATTGATACAACTCGAGCAGTACTAACGGGAAAAAACTGTAGAATTATGAAAAGACTACTACTGGAACTGTCATTATTTTTTGTATATTAATGGAATGCTAACTTGATAAATCTGCTTTTGGTATGCTTGTGAAAGAGTGGCTCTGGTACCTTCTAATGTATGTACCTATACTAGAATTCTATGTTACCGACATACAAGTCCTGATTTCGAGTATCGTCGTGCGCCGCCAGAGAGCCCTCCTTGATACATTAAACCCTTTCGAAAGAGTTCAAGGACTTTTCATAAAAAGGATTGGTAGAG